GAGTCTGGTAAGAAACATCAAACTCGGCGGGGGTACGGTAGCGGACTGCTGAATGGGATTTCTCTGTTCCGCCCTGAACGGCCCCGTCCCGTCGAAGCGCCCTGTGTTCCACACGTCAACGTTCTGTGGTGACTGTGGTTGGGGGTGGGCCGCTCGCGGGTGTCTGGGCCGTGGCGGCGGCTGGAGGAGAAAGAGGAGGAAGAGGAGGAATAGCTTAAAAAAGGAGGGATCCAACCGCAAATGTCGTGGGTCTGAAAGCCACTGGAACTGCAACGGTGAAATTACCATCGATAGAACCGCCGACCTCACCTGACCCTGTCTGGGGCGAGACAACCGGGCAGCGAAGAAGGACGCTTGGTATGCTCAGTCCAGGCTCTGCCAAAATCGTGGCAGAGCCTGGGCTGGCGGAGCCCGGACTGAACTCACCGTCCCGTCGCGGCCAGCCGACCACAGTACCGCATCCATGCCGTACCCCTGTGGGCTGGACGCGACGGGACGGTGAGAGCCCCCCGCAAAGCGACACCCCCTTAGGAGGCGTGGAACCTCGAGGGCCAAAGCGCGGCGCGCGCTGCTCTGGCACTCGGGTCCCCTCCGTGAGACCCCCCCTCGCACCAGGACCTTTCTGATCAGGCTGTGTCACGAGCCTCATCGGATAAAGAACCATCAGAGCATGAACCCTCAAGATTTTGGATACCACACCCTCCCCGCTCCAGTCAGATTCCGTCGGCCGGGGCCACTGACAGTGTACGAAAACCGCGCCCCAGGGAAGGAATTTGTACACCAGACCCACGACCAGGACCCTCGTTCGCCCCCTCGGGGCTTTCCGGGTATAGTACAAAACTTCCTCGGGCGGACTGAAGCGTCCTGGGCACACTCCTTAAGGAACGCCACCACCGGACCCGCCACTCCCTGGGCCTCTCCCAGGGCGAGCTCTGACCAGGACCTCGAGGCGAATCCAGCCGTGGCGGCGATGGGTTTAGGGTACAGCGCTACTGGGCACCGCCCCCTAACACCCGACGACATGATCTCTTCAACCCGCGGCCCCAGAGGTGGCGACCCCAGGGCAAGCGATCCCCCCCCACGATCGCCGGACCCCTTCTTGACGGCCCCCGGGGACCACGGCCCCCGGAAGCCGAAGACGAGGCACAAAGAGCCAGGTTGAGAAAGCCACCTATCGTCGGAGATCTGGTCGGGGAGACGTGAGACTCGGGCACGGGAGACTCGGGTTGGCCCGACGCGGCCAGCACGAAAATGACGAGGCCCCATCTGAACTTCGACGCGGGCTCCCGCTGCAAGCATCCCACGAGCACAAGACCGTCATAATCCAGGACGCGCTCGCCAAAAACAACGTCGGCCAGCCCGAGTTCCGGCTTTCTCGAGTCTCACGTTTCCCCGTTTTGGGACCCCTGAGATCCGACGCGGGACAACAAATTACTCACTGCGTGGAGCTCCCCATATGTGCATGTCATGTTTTATGTCATGCCGTGGTGAGCGTCTGTTCATGAGCGGTCGACTACAATAGCGCGTCCACGTGGGCGACAGGGCCGACAAAGACGAGTGACCCCTAATGCGAGTGATTGCGTATGAGTCAGAGTGAGCTTTGAGTATGGTTGAATGCGAGCCTCGTCCTCTTCATCCCCCCTCCTCAGCTGCCAGGCCTTCCCCTTTTCAGCCCGTGGTAGCTTTGGAGCTTCCCACATGTGCATATGTTGTAGGATAGTTGGCAGTGGGATATGTAAGACGAGCGTTTAGCCACACAAGGCCATAAGTGCATGTCATGTTGGAGGATAGTGCCACGAGAAACAAGCAAACCGCCTGAGACATCCCCACAAAATGGCCGCGAACGAGCCCGTGCAACCACCCCTGGCGGCTCCCCTTAGGGGTGCTGAAACCAGCGCCCCGCCTGAGACATCCTCACAATCTGCTCTCCAAGCGAAGGATGTTGGGCCCAGAAACAAGCAAACCGCCTGAGACATCCCCACAAAATGGCCGCGAACGAGCCCGTGCAACCACCCCTGGCGGCTCCCCTTAGGGGTGCTGAAACCAGCGCCCCGCCTGAGACATCCTCAAATCTGCTCTCGAAAGCGAAGGATGTTGGGCCCAGAAACAAGCAAACCGCCTGAGACATCCCCACAAAATGGCCGCGAACGAGCCCGTGCAACCACCCCTGGCGGCTCCCCTTAGGGGTGCTGAAACCAGCGCCCCGCCTGAGACATCCTCAAATCTGCTCTCCAAGCGAAGGATGTTGGGCCCAGAAACAAGCAAACCGCATGAGACATCCCCACAAAATGGCCGCGAACGAGCCCGTGCAACCACCCCTGGCGGCTCCCCTTAGGGGTGCTGAAACCAGCGCCCCGCCTGAGCAAACCGCCTGAGACATCCCCACAAAATGGCCGCGAACGAGGCCGTGCAACCACCCCTGGCGGCTCCCCTTAGGGGTGCTGAAACCAGCGCCCCGCCTGAGACATCCTCACAATCTGCTATCCAAGCGAAGAATGTTGGGCCCAGAAACAAGCAAACCGCCTGAGACATCCCCACAAAATGGCCGCGAACGAGGCCGTGCAACCACCCCTGGCGGCTCCCCTTAGGGGTGCTGAAACCAGCGCCCCGCCTGAGACATCCTCACAATCTGCTGTGTGTTGAGTAAGTCTCAGACTATGAGTAAGTCTGAGTATGAGTACGCCTGGGTATGAGTAAGTCTGAGTATGAGTATGAGTATGGATATGTCTGAGTAAGTCTGTATGACGTCTGGGTATGAGAAGTCTGAGTATGGATATAAGTCTGAGTGTGAGTAAGTCTGAGTAAGTATGAGTACGTCTGGGTATGAGAATCTCTGAGTATGAGTAAGTCTGAGTATGAGTAAGTCTGAGTATGAGTAGGTCTGAGTACGAATATGCCTGAGTATGAGTATGTCTGAGTATGAGTAAGTCTGAGTATGAGTATGTCTGAGTAAGAGTAGGTCTGAGTATGAGTAGATCTGAGTATGAGAGTATCTGAGTATGAGTAAGTCTGTGTATGAGCAAGTCTGGGTATGAGCAAGTCTGAGTATGAGTAACTCCGACAGGAGGGGAGGAGGAAAGAGGAGGAGGAAGGAGGAGAGGGAGTAGGAGGCGTCCAAGTAATAACAAGAACCCCATCTTAGGATATGGGGAAAAACAACTCGGCGGCATGCACGCAAGCCCACGACCGGAGCCCTGGACCCAACCTCCCTGCGGCTCTCCTCGAGCCGCATCCGCCCGTGAGGGCCCCGGGACCCGAGCCCGGGCGAGCACGCCCAGCTCGAGAAGTTGCGCGACGCCAGGGCCTCAGGGAAGCGGAGGCCTTCTCCGTATAGGCGGGGTCGGAGCAGATGGGGTCGGAGCATCGCGCCGCATCGCGGATACGTCGGCGATGCATCGGCGATGCATCGGTGATGCACCGGCGATGCATCGTCGACGTCGAAGATGCATCGGCGACGCCGACGTGAAGCAGCTCGGGCTCCACACCGAGCCGCACCGGCGGTGCATCGGCGGTGCGGCGCCATCCCCGAAGCGCGATCTGCTCGGACCCCGTCTATAGGAGGCCTGGAGGAGGTCATGTGGTCGGAGATCTGGGCCCCGGCATGCGATGCCGGACATGTCTTCGGGGCAGCAGGAGCTCGACAACAACAAACCTCCCATAAGACATTCAGCCCTGTCCATTGTTTCTTGGTACACCCTGCGAAATGCTTAAGAAATCATGGGTTCAGAAATTCGTAATCTCGGAATCTAGAGAAAAAAAAACATATATTTCATTGAAAACTTGGGATTTACATTGAAATATCAAGAATAGAAGGGACTCTCGCCGAAAACGTAAGTTTTCTTAAGCATCGCCTAGGGTGTATGGGGACGCGTCACGCTGTCCATCGTAGAACCATCGGAACCCAGGAACCCAGGAAACTCAGGGCACCCAGGAGGCAAGCAGGGCGTTTCTTGGCATAGGTTTCCACTGTACGGGGTCTCCCGAAGTCTCGACCCTTTCCCCGGGATGAGCTTTTCACCCTGGGCCAGTGCGGATACAAGAAACCGCGCGGACTGCCAACAGTTTATGATTAAGCCTTTTCTGTTGTCTCAAAACGTGTATTCAGGACGCGTGGTAAGGACGCAAGACCATCTGAGGCCGAAGTTGGGATGTTTGGGGCGGCGGGCGACGCAAGCTTGGAGGCTAAAGTTTGGGCGGCAAGGACGCAGGGGCACCCTAGATGCAGGCGCGCGTGCTTGCTAGGCAGGCCTGCGCTGCATCGATCCGCCGAGCCGCACTGGAGATCGGAAACGGGCCCCGCATCGCATCGAGACCGGCCCGCTGCGCCTGGCTCTGGCTGGCCCTGGGCCTGTGAATCGCCGAAGGGTTCCAGAGGGGTTTTTTGGGGAGGGGGTTTTCCAAAGTGCCCCCAGGGGCCTCGGAACCCCGTCGAAGCCCAAGAGGGTGCGAAGCCCCTGGGCAAGACCCCTCCTGGAAAACCCCCTCCCCAAAAATCGGCGGTGGACAAACCTCCCTTTAGCAAACCTCCCTTCAATGAAAACGGCCTGGGACCGAAACCGACGGACCTGGACCCGCAAAAATGACGGCCGCGACGCCCTCTCGCGAACCGAAAGCGGCGTGTCAGGGCAGGCGGTCTGTCCACCCCCCAAAAAAAAAACTCTAATTGGAACCCTCCGGAGCCGAGCCGAGGCGAGTCGAACCGAGCCGGCACCGCGGCTTCGGCCGGCGCATCGCCTGCCGCAGCGGTCGATCGGAGCGCGGGCGGCCCTGCCGGGGGCGCGCCGTGGCCCGAGGGTGACTACCTACCAGACCACCCCAACCCAACCCGAAGACCCGAATTTGACCCGAATTTCGGGTTGGGGGGGGGGGGTCGGGTTCCATGTGTCTTTTCAATGCTCTCCGACACCCCCCCAGTAGAAACGGAGGGCAAATCGAAGCCTTCGGGTTGGGTTGGGGGTGGTCTGGTCGGTGGTGAGAGGGCCCTCCGCGGCCCGCGGGGCTCCTTCGACTTCTCCGCGGCCGCGGGCAGCGCCCCCGCGGAGGCCGCGGCCGCCGAGGCGCCCAGGGCCAGGGCGGCGCGCCGGGGGGCGAGGGCCGGCGGGGCCGGCGCGGGCAGGAAGGCGGCGGGCAGGGCGAGCAGCGCGCAGCCTCGGGGGGGCGAGGGCCAGCGCCGAGGGGCAGCTCTATACTCAGGGGGCGCGCCTCCCCCTCCTCATCCTCCTCCTCCCCCTCCTCCTCCTCCTCCTCTCCTCCTCTTCTCCTCCTCTTCTCCTCCTCTTCTCCTCCTCCCCCTCTACAGTCAAGGGGACGTAAGACCCGGGTACAGGGGACTCGGAAATCCCCGAGGAGGTCGTCAGAAAAAGGACGAGGCCGAGCCTGCACTTTGACGAGGCCTCCCTCTGCAGACATCCCACGGAACTCCTCCTCGTCAAAATCCGAGGCGCGGTCGTCAAAAAACGATGGCGAACTCGAGTCCTGGCAAACCCGGGTCTTACGCTCCCCCTTCTACAAGGGGAGTTGCGACGAGAAATAGAAAATACGCAAAAGATGCTCCAAGATGGTCAAAAGATGCTAAGAGAAGAGTCCCCAGGCTATCTTTTGACTATTGTTGAATAGTCCCCCTGTAGAGGGACAGGCCCGACTCAAGTCTGTACTGGGAGGCCTGATATCGTGGGAAGGCCTGCAGGTGGGGGCGTGGGCCCTGTTGTAGGGGGGCTGCTGCGCCGGAGCAGGCTGCGGATGGAGCCGGATGAAGAGGGATCGAGCCGGGCTGAACGGGACTATGCCAGACGAGTCCGGATTTCGGACCAGGGCCATGCCAGAATTCCACCTCCCAGGAGTTGCATCCGAGCCAACGACCGGTCGCACGCATATCACCGCCACGCCCAGCTCACGAAGCTCGATACGCAACGTGGGGCCGCGGCATCGTCCACCGCGCCCTTGGTGGCGCTGTACAGCGCGTACGCGGGCGTACGGAGTCGGGGATGGGCAGAACCCCCTTTGGTAAAACGTGATTCATTGACAACGACCTCGGGCCCAAACCTGGCGGCCGCAGGCCTGGAAAATGACGGCCGCGGCGCCCTCTCGGGAACCGAAAACGGACAATTCACTAATCGGCGTGTCAGGGTGGGGGTCCTGTCCACTCCCGAGGAAGGCTCACAGCCACGCTGGGCACAAGCAGTCCACCCAGAGATCCGACGTCGTGAATTTCTCCATGCGCGGTCCCCGGGAGTCTCGACCCTTTCCCCAGGACCGGCTTCTCATCCTGAGTCGTTTTTTGACGGCCCCGAGGCCCAGCGAGGGCCCCGGGCCGAATTTTGCGAGAACCCTCCGTCCTGATGTTGTTCACTGCGCTGGATCTCTGGGCACTGCTGGGCGGCAGAGAGCCGACGTCGCGGCAGGGCATCGCTCCGCGGAGGGCCTGCCGCCGTCTTTGGCCTCCCTCCGGGGGCCCTCGTGCAGGCCGGGCCGGGGGCCGTCCAGAAAAAAGCAGTTTCGGGCGGGCGCCAGTGGCTACGTCGGGCGCGCCCCCCTCGGGGGGGATCTTGGACGAAAGATAAAACAATCAACTTATGCTCAAAAATAACAAAATAACATAAATAACAAAAAAGACCCCCCCCCCCCAAAAAAAAAATCAACTTATACCCACAAAAAACAAGGAATCCACAACAAAATCCTCCCCCGACTTGCCATCTTTGAATTTTCCTCCCGTAGTAGAGGGACCAGCCCGACTTCAGGCAACGAGGGGGTGACCCACATGGTGGGGAAAGACAAGGTCCTGTAAAGGGAGGGCCTCTCTTCGGCACCTTCTGGCTCCAACAGGGGCCCTTGAGGGCTTTTTTCTCCACTCCCCATTTGGGCCACCCCCCAGTTCCACCGCCCGACAACCAGCAGCTCTGGATAAACCGGTCCCAGGGAGTGGGTCGAGGCCTCTGAGGGTCGACGTGATGAAAAAGATCACGAGGTCGGGGGTCCGGGACAGGGGGTGAGCTTTTTCTGGCTTATCCCCATTAACAGTATATATAACTACAGGGCAGTTTCTTTAATACATGTGATGTTAAAACATACAGGATGTTAATACATGACTAATGTATGAAAAAGTGCATGCGTGAACTCATCGTTGCTTTTCATACTGAACCCATGCATTGTTAATACATGATCCGCACGCGGAGCATGTCTTAAAAAGGGCACTGTATTGAGAACTGCTACATCAAAAAACCCACGGCCCCGCAGGGGGCCCACGACGGGGGGAACCGGCTCAGGGCGGGGGGGCGAGCGAGCGAGCGCGACGTCGGTCGGGACCGGCCCCGGGAGGGCAGCGCGGCAGGGCCGAAGCCCGCACCAGTCGCTGAGGTGGGGAAGTGGGCGTCGACGGATAGTGGCGCAGGGGGAACTTTCATTTGCCCCCAAGACAAAACATGTCGGGAAATCCGCTGCCCTCGGAGGGGCATCTCCCAACCGCGCGACAAAGACACAGCCACACACGTGCACAGCAAGCCTGGGGTAAATGAAACGCCCCGCCCAGTGGCAACATACGTAAGCGGGCGCACCCTTGACCAGACCGTGCGGGGGGAACTAGCTCTCGGGCGATAGGAAGATCGACTGTGAATCGGCGATACATCGCCGATAGATCGGCGATACGCCCCCGATAGCAAATCCCCACATTCCTGGGCGGGGCGATGCTTTCGGGCCCCTCTCGGCGATCAATGGACGATTGGGGGGTCGAGAAGTCCCTCCATGAGCCGATTCCCCCCCTCGAGTATTACAAAAAACAGCGGACAGATGTTCTCTATTCTCTGTGTTTGAGGTTCATTACTGGGCCTCGAAATCGTCCTTCAACGACTCAGGATGAAAAGCTGGTCCTAGGGAATGGGTCGAGACCTAAAGGGATCGGCGTCATGAAAAAATCATGACGTCGGGGGTCGGGGGCTATGACCGCGTTTGTTGCCGACTCCGTTTACTACATAGATTTTGTTGCCAGCTCTGGTGCAATCGTTCCCCCGCTCGGTCGCCTTGTCATCCTGGCCCCAGTTCTGGCTCCAGTCCCGGAGCAATGTGCTGTCCAGTTTCTGGATTGCTTTTCTTTCTACCGTTCTCATGCTCCAGAATCAGCCGTTGCAAACGGCAAAAAATGAGGGGCAACGATAGGGGGGGACTGGCACACGATAGCCCCCGATAGCGGATCCATCGGCGATGGCCCCCGATAGCCAATGCATCGGCGATCGCCCCATCGCCAATACATCGGCGATAGGCCCCCGATAGCGGATCCACACGCTCCTGGGCAAGGTGGGGCTATCAAACCCCCTGTCGACGATCAATGGGCCATTGGTGGTCCACACGCCCCCCCTATAACTATTTTGGACGCCCGAAATGGGTACGGAAAAAATGGGTGCAATGACCAACAACAAATGTTGTCCCAAACCAACAGCGGCAGCTGTTGGGCAGGCGGCCTTCTGTCTCGAATGGACACAGGCCGCGGCGGCGTGGACAGCGAATCCTGTTCAAAATGAACAGGAGATGCTGCTGGGCATTGTACCCATTCTTTCCGTACCCATTTCGGGCGTCCAGATACATGCCTACCCCCCCTCGCTGCCCCCGAGAACACGGCCCCGCCGATTCGGGGCCCCACTAGGCGCACAGCCCAGGGCCGCGAGCGTGAGCGCGGGGGCGCGGCGGGCGGCCATCGGCGAAGGCGCGGGTACGTCGGGCACGAGTGCCGCGGAGGCCCCGACGCCCTCGCACCGGGGGGTAAAACACGACGGGCCGACGAGCCACAGCTGGGGGAGCTGTGGTCCTTACCCCCCTGGGGCCCTGGGGGAACCCATCGCATCGACGATCCCTCGAGAGGGGTGTCGAAATCGATGGGTCCCCCAGGGGGGTAAGAGGACCACAGCTCCCCCAGTTGTGGCTGGCCTGACGGGAGCACGGCGGGAGCGGCTTCCCTCAGAGGCCGGCGCTGCAACGTCCTCGCGCCGGGCGCCTGCGCCCTGCTCGGGACCCCGCGGCAGATGGGGCCACCACGCCTCGAGCCAGCCCGAAGAAACCCCGACGTGGGACGTCCTGACTTTTTCCCAACCATCCTGTAGTGTTGGGTCCTCGTTTTGAAGAGACGGTGCCCCGCGTTCCTCCTCCCGCTGCCCCCTCCCCCCTCCTCCCATCATCATCACCATCCTCATCATGTTCATCATCATGAGTATCGTCATCATCATCATCATCCACATCGTGGTTGCCGGTCATCATCATCACCATCATCATCATCATCATCATCATCATCATCATCATCATCGGCACACCCCTCACACGTTTCGTGGCCCCATAGGGAGCTCCACCGAAGGCCCAAATGGCTGCGTCCGCATGCCGCCGCCGCCCAATTTTGGCACACCCCTCACACGTTTCGTGGCCCCATAGGGAGCTCCACCGAAGGCCCAAATGGCTGCGTCCGCATGCCGCCGCCACCCAATTTTGGCACACCCCTCACACGTTTCGTGGCCCCATAGGGAGCTCCATCTAAGGCCCAAATGGCTGCGTCCGCATGCCGCCGCCACCCAATTTTGGCACACCCCTCACACGCTTCGTGGCCCCATAGGAGCTCCATCTAAGGCCCAAGTGGCTGCGTCCGCATGCCGCCGCCACCCCATTTTTTGCACACCCCTTACACCCCAGAGCTATGCGTTCCGCATGCCGCCGCCGCCCAATTTGGTACACCCCTCACACGCTTCGTGGCCCCATAGGGAGCTCCACCGAAGGCCCAAATGGCTGCGTCCGCATGCCGCCGCCACCCCAATTTTGGCACACCCCTCACACGTTTCGTGGCCCCATAGGGAGCTCCACCGAAGGCCCAAATGGCTGCGTCCGCATGCCGCCGCCACCCAATTTTGGCACACCCCTCACACGTTTCGTGGCCCCATAGGGAGCTCCACCGAAGGCCCAAATGGCTGCGTCCGCATGCCGCCGCCACCCAATTTTGGCACACCCCTCACACGTTTCGTGGCCCCATAGGGAGCTCCATCTAAGGCCCAAATGGCTGCGTCCGCATGCCGCCGCCCCCCAATTTTGGCACACCCCTTACACGCTTCGTGGCCCCATGGGGAGCTCCACCGAAGGCCCAATTGGCTGCGTCCGCATGCCGCCGCCGCCCAATTTTGGCACACCCCTCACACGTTTCGTGGCCCCATAGGGAGCTCCATCTAAGGCCCAAATGGCTGCGTTCGCATGCCGCCGCCGCCCCATATTTGGCACACCCCTTACACGTTTCGTGGCCCCATGGGGAGCTCCACCGAAGGCCCAAATGGCTGCGGCCCAGACGTGATCCTAGACTGCGGCCGCCACGAGGTCGGGAACGGCAAGAAGGAGGACGACGACTGGTGGCTGGAGCTCTACGCGCTGCTCTCGCGCGCCACGCGCCACGAGGATCTCCTGCTCATGCGGGCGCCGCTCATCGAGTTCTTCCTGGCAGGGCCGCCGGAGGGCTTGCGGAAGCAGCTGGAGCAGTTTGCAGCGCGCACGAAGCGGTGCAGGAGGGAGGCGACGGCCCTCGCCAGAGAGCTGGGCTTCAGCGAGTTCATCCGCGAGGCCTGACCTGGGGAGCGGCCCCGCACGAGCCAGCGGCGCGCGCTGGTTGTCGCTGACGCTTGGATGACCCCAGCTCGTCGTCGGGATTTCTCGCCAGAGGATGACCGGCGCCTGTCGGGGGATTTCACCCAGATCGCGCCATTTTCGCACGCCTCGCCACGCAGCACGGGGGTGCTATCCGTTGATTCAGAGTCGCACTGGACAACCCCCGCGCGTCGATGGGATTCCCTCGGGATGACCAGACCGCGTCGGCGAGGACTTCCCAGGCACTTTCGCGCGGCGCCGCCTGCCCGCTGCATTCTGCGTGGCTCGCTGTCGGTCTGGAGGCAAAAACGTCTCCCCTCGTCTCTCGCTCCTCCTGCCTCCCATCGCTTCTTGACCGCGCGCTTCCCCGTCTCGTTTCTGCCGCTGCTGACCTGCCTTCGACATCTACACGGTGTCTCCATCACCTCTTCCTGCGTGCCCAGTAACAGGTCTCATGATGCGATGATGATACTGATGTGTTGGCTCGCCCCAGTGAGCTCTCCTCCTCCGCCCGCCACCTCCTGCCCGCGCTGCCCTGTGCCTCGTCCATGCAGTGGCGCGGTGCCTATGAGAAGAGAGGCCTAGTTTGCGTGCCCCCTCCTTCGTCTCATATCCGTGCGGTACTCGCAGCTGCATATGGTTGGGTCCTTCGCCAGGTTTTTCCATACGTGGTCTCCCGAGGTCTCGACCCCTTCCTTGGCACCAGTTCTTCATCCTGGGTCGTGTTTCGACGGCCCCGGGGCCCGGTAGAAGGCCCGCCAGAGGCCAAAACCGGCCAAGAACCTTCGGGAATCTCCTGAACCGGGTCAATCCAGACCCGGGTCAGTCAAGCCTTGCAGAATCCTGCAAGATCCTGCACCGAAGCCAGGGTCAACGAGAAGGCTCCTGCAAGATCCTGCAGGGTCCTGCACCCGAGCCCGGGCCAATGCGACCCTGGCCTTGCAGGATCCTGCAAGCTCGGGCGCTCTGGCCGACCCCCGCTCGCGTCGACCCCCGCGTGCCACGTCCCCGCACCGTTGGCTCTCGACGCGCCCAGGCGGACGGCGCCGGCACCGCGGCAGACCCACGGCAGGCCCTGCGCCCCGCGCCCGAGGAGACGCCGCCGGCACCGCGGCGCCCACGGCAAGCCGTGCGCCCGAGGCGGACGGTGCCCGGGTGGCCGCGGCGCCCTTCCCCAGGACGTATATAGGCCGCGCGCCGCAGCGCTCGGCTTGGCGACAGCTGCTTCTGGTGTTCTGCCTCGCAGCCTCGGGCCCTGCAGGGTTGGCAACGTCCTCGGCCCCCGAGGCCCTTCTCTATGCCGAGCCCCGTGCGCGGGCCGCCCACACGACGGCTCGCGGGCGAGACGCCGGCCCCCGGGCAGACGGGGCCCTGCAAGACGAAGCCAGTACGAGGGCAAATCCCGATGAGGATAAATCGATAAGCTCTGAGGTCCCGCGGCTCGGGAAGACGTACGGGGCGCCGCGGCCTTCGCAGAGCGCTCCACGCTCTGAGAGCGTTCCCCCGACCGCTCCGGCACGGATGGATCTTTGTCTCAGCCCCGCACGGCCCACACTTCTGCACGGGGAGCTGTGGGAAAACTGTACAGTCGGGGCGTTGACCTAAGGAACCCTAAATAAGGAACGAGGCCCCTTTGATTCCATAAGTAAAACTTCGATTCCCCATCCAAAACCTAAGGACAACCTCAGGCAAGCTGCGAAACACTTGAGGAACGCGGAGCCCCTCCCCAACGCAAAGGGTTCCTTCTTCAGGGCCCCGACTGTACTTCTGCACGGGGAGCCGTGGGAAAAGCGTAAACGACCCTCACGGACATGCGATGTGCTGATTTTTGCCATGCGGAATCCCCGGAAGTCCGGACCCTCTCCCGGGGAATCCGGACTTCTGGGGAGTCCAGACTCCCCGGAAGTCCGGACTCCCCGGTTCCCTCTCCCACAAGCAATTCAGTCCGGAAGTCCGGACTGAACTTCCTTGTGGGAGGAGAAAAGAAAAAAGGAAGTCCCGACCCGCTCCCGAGAGGCACCGTGCCTGATCCCGCGAGAGGCGGTTTCTGCCCGCAACGGGGCCCGGCGAGGGCCATCAGAGGCCGAAAAACGGCCAGAAACGTTCCGTCGCGTTTTTTTCTTCGCTTTCCACGAGGAGACAGAGGGCGAGGAAAGCTACAGTCGGGGCGTTGACCTAAGGAACCCGAAATGAGGAACGAGGCCCCTTTCTCCCATACGTTGAATTTCGATTTCCCGTGGAAAACCTCGGGAAAACTTGGAAAACTGGAGGCAAACTGCAGAACAATCAAGGAACGCCGAGCCCCTCTCCAACGAAAAGGGTTCCTTCTTCAGGGCCCCGACTGTAACGAAGTCCAGCTCGGATGATCAAAGCTGCCAGCGTCCCCAACTGATGGGACGGGGTCTGAGCCATGCAAGAACGGGCCAGAAGGAGGGGGAGGGCGGCGAAGAAGGAAAGGAAGGCCCCTCCCCCAACCTCTCCCTCTTCTCCTCCTCTTCCTCCTCCTCCTAGCCCCTCTGCGCTCGGGCAGCGTTGCAGGAAGAGTTCTTCAGAGGGGCGCGCGCTCCTGCGAGCCAACTTGCGAGGCATCCACGAGTTCTTCCTCTTGCAGTCTTCTGCCATGGCGCCCAACGCCTCTCGTGCTGTGTGTTGGAATGACGGCTGGCCATGGCAGGACGCAGGACACCGTGGCAGTGTCCAATCGACGTGGACCTGCAAGGCATGCGGGTGCAAGAGAAACAAGCAGCCTTGGCAGCAGTGCAGACATTGCTGGGCTTGGAGGAGCTCGCCTGCCTTCGACGCCCACTCCTAGCCGCGCGGCGCCTGGCAGGGATGGAACGAGAGTGGGCTGTCCAGGACGGCTCCTCCTGGTATGTGGGCTTCTGCGCTTCCTGTTCAGCCTGGTCCTCTCTTCCAGCTGCCAGGTGGTTCTTCGTCTCCCCATGTGGGGCAGCAGAGACGGAGCGCACCATGCTGGTCACCATGCTGCGCACCATGCTGCTCTATGTCTGAGCTGGTCACCGTGCTGCGCACCATGGGCGCCACCGACGGCGCCGCCAAGTACCAGAAGCTCCTGGACACCAAGCGCTCGGAGCAGAAGGTGGAGCTCCCCTTGCAGCAGGGGGTGGGGG